ATGGATGTCCAAGAACTGTTTATAATAAAGACAAAGGCTTTCAGATTGCAGTGATATTAACAATACATGAAGATTATTGCTCAACATAGGGTTATACAGTAAAGGACAATTATGTAATAAATGAATTAATGTCTTTATACATGAAAATTATGGTAGTTACTTGTGTGGTCCCCTGGAATACCTTGTGTAGTACACAAAAATAATAAAAAAACAACCATATAAGCTGGAATTTTTTTAGGATTCTGGTGATATTTTCCATTTTTTAAAACAGAAAAGGGCTAATATAAAGGGGGCATTTTTACTTACATTTCCAAAAGTGAGTTAGCTTTACCACCCTAAAATAGGTTATTTTGGGTTTAAAAAGTCAGCAGTTATTACATTCATGTTTTGTAAATTAAACTTTAATTAATTAAAAATTAAATTTTATTTAGGGTATTGAAGCTGCTGTTAAATTGTTCTTTAATTTTGGTGGCCATTTTAAAAAGCGCCCCCAATTGCCTCTCGAAATCTTCACATTAATAACTATAGCTAGTTATACTTTACTCCTATCATTACATATTCAAAAGTTCGTCAAACCTACCTCTTCTGTGCTTATTTTACCCATATTATATGTACTGTAGTTTATTGGATTTTGGTGGCCATTTTGAAAAAGCGCCCTCATGCGAAATTTCTCACATATACTGATTCCCTTACATATTTTGATTCCCCATAAAAAACTAAGCTAGAAAAACCATATGAAAATTTCTACCTCTCCAAGTGGCACATATCTCAATTATAGCCTCGTTTATATTGCTAAACCCTGCAAACCTCCAAAAAAACACCGCAAACCCCATCCAAACCCTGTGATAATGATTGAATCATGTAGTATAGGACTTAACTTGGTATTACCGCTGGAGGCCGTTCCACCAAAGACACTCATTTATACTTGTAATTTTGAAACCGTGTTACAGCAAATAGCATTGCGTTGTGGGGTGTGTGGTCAAAGCAACAATTAGTTTTTATCCCCAAGAGTGCACACTTTAAATGTGCTTTCCGTCCAGCCCATTGTTTCCGTCCTCCCCTGACGGTTTTTACCAGGCTGACCAAGCCATCGTACCGGGCTGGGTAATAAGAGAAAAGAAAGAGGGGAGAGGGAGGGAAAGAGAAAGAAGAGGAAAAGAAAAGGAAAGAAAAAGAGAAGAGAAAAATAAAGACAAGAATAAGATAATGACTAAACTCACAACACCCTGCAACCCCTTCTCCACTTCAAAAACTGTCATAACTCCTTTGATCTATGCTGCTCGATGGCGTAACCACTGGGGGAACAAGGGAAAAATATCTATCTTTGAAAAATCTTCCCCACCCCTTTATAAATGCCCTTTCATTCCTGAAAGTGCCTAAAAACCTCAAATTTCGCGCGTATTTCTTGTTAACATGGCCCAATTTCCTCTAAAAATTGCACATTTTAGGGAGTTTTGATCAATTCCAACAAAATTAGAAATAAAAACACTGGGAGACAAGGGGAAAATATCCATCTTTGGAAAATCTTTCCCCACCCCTTGATAAATGCATCCTCTGAAAGTGCCTAAAATTCTCAAATTCTTTGCGCGCATTTCTTGTTGCGGTAGGCCAATTTCCTCTATAAATTGCACATTTTAGGGAGTTTTCATCAATTCCAACGAAATAAGAATTAAAAACACAAATATTTTCACCAGCTTTTTGGAGTGCCGGTCGGCGATCATTCCGAGTTTTCCCGGGGGTAGGGTGCCGTAATTTCACATGTTTTATGATTACCACGATGAATGTGTATGTCACTGATTCATGTGCACTCATTTATTTATTTTTTTGTCCATTTACACACATTATATATCAATTATAATTAAAAGTGAAAAACTTTAAAATACAAATTGAAAACAAAGTAAAGAAATAAAACATAAATCAGGTTTTGTAAATTTTTAATAATCTTCCTGCCCCAGACCATGCTCTCATAATAAAACACTTGAATGGTCACGATTTCAACTTTAACCTTTGAATGTGAACAGAGCAACCGTGTCATGCCGGTCCACGATGTTCGCTATGACTCAACTGGGCCTAGGCTGTTAAGTTAGCGATGAATAGCAGGGCAGTGCAGTATTTTGTTACAATTAACGTAACCACGGAAACATTTATTGCATTCTTCTTGTCTTTATCAATTTAGCTTGTCTATTGTGTTTAGGTAAACTAATTATTTTGTTACAATTTGTAAACTGTTAAAATAATAGTGGTGGTCGGGAGCCTGTAAATCCTGGTCGGAAATGTTGAGTGCTTGACGGGCCCGTCCACCGCCGACCAACGTGGTGACATCCCTGAATGTGTATAGATGGTGATAGAATATGTTTGTAATAAATAAAACCATGATGAAAATGCTTGTATTTAGTTTCAAACACGTGTGGCCTATATTATAAGATAAGCCCTATGTCGTATTGTTTTCTATATGGGGAGTGGGGTGGGGTGGTTATGGTAAATTACTAACCCCGGGAATTGTGGATTGTATGTTGTTATTATTATTATTATTATGTTGTAATGATGTTGTTTGTACTGTTCTTAATTTTTATTAAAGAGGGCCGCTGAATATCAGTTAACCTACTGGGCTAAACTAGAAGGGTTACCCTCTTTAAAGATGGTTGAAATAAAAAATAAAATAAATAAATACCCACTCTGACCCAAGACCCCTGTTACGCGCCTGATGTTAGCTCCAATGTGTGCCTGTGCGGACAGGGGATGTGCCCCACTCTGAAGCTGGAAACCTTGTTAAATTGCAAAATAAATTGATGTAATTTGCTATTATAGGTCTAATCAATAAATTCCTCATCAACCGATATAACCTTAAACATTCTTGGAATTGACATAACATTACTGATATCGTACACACCCTTCAGTGTGAAATGTGGCTCTCTTTGCAAGCACATCTAACATCTAAGGAAAGAGCTTAGATTGGTACCAGATAAAATAATTTTGTTACCAACATTAATACATTATGCTAATTTTCATCTTTGTAAGCGCATAAGAAAGTGCAGCTTATTTCTGTGACAGTCTCTTGAAGTGTGTAAAGCTCCATTTTATCCCATACATAGTCAAAATATTGGGGGATATGATACAATGGACCATCCGCCCCTTGTCAAATATTGGGGGGATATATCCCCCATCCCCTGGGATCTACAGTACGCCTACAGTATGGCCCCTAGTAAATAACAATATAATTTATGTTCATAACAGCTTATTTTTGTGGTAAAATCTTGATATAGGACTCTACTTGGTACAGGTATCTCAATAAAAAAAAAAAATCAATTTTTATGTTCCTCACAACTTATTTTTGGGGAAAATGCCATATTTTGTATTAAAAAATTGCAATGTTTTTATACAAAAATTGGCATTTTTACCCCAAAAGTAGGTTGTTACGAACGAAACATTATGATTTAAAAAAAAACTGAGATACCAAGTGAGTGCTATACTATGTGAGTCAATCACTATCACAGGGTTTGGATAGGGGTATTGCTAAACCCAGCAAACCTCTCAAAAAACACCGCAAACCCCATCCAAACGGTACCCTGTAATAATGAGATTTTTGTTCACTGTGGATTTATGCTACATTCTAAGCTTATTTTGCCAACAAAAGGGCCTCCATCTGTTATAATAATTTTTGAAAAATTTAGGCTACAGTAGGAGGGTGCCGGCTGAGCTCGACACTGTATAATATAAAATTTGACCTAGCCTATCATTTTGTTTGACAAATGACTAATTCATAATGTCAAGCTAAAAGGTTTTAATAACTGGCCTAATTAAGTATCTTATTGTTTTCTTTAAATTAAAATGGAGTTTAAATGTGGTTACGGTATATTATGTTTAGTTTGATGGTTTACTGTAAACCAATCTGTTACATTTGCATCTTCATCAAAAAATAATAATAGTAATAATAATGACGTCGTATAATGTTCATTAACAATGTCTGTCACTGGTGCTGGGAGCAATCACGAAAGTCACGTTAGGAAAAGTGGAGGGGCCAGTCCCCCACAGTAGAACAAGTGTATCTTCCTTTATGTTAAAGATGGAAACCTACACCTAAACCTAACATTAGTCAAATAAAGTGTAAATGTTATGTTCACTTTACAATATGCTGTTCATTTTTTTTTTCAATGTGTTATAAACAGCTTCAAGTTGGTAAAAAAAAATTTTAAAGTAAACAAAACTTTCTTTGAAATAAATGAATAGTTGTCCCATGTTGTTTATTGGAGACCACTTATATCTTCGGTCTTAAATTAGAGGTTTCAAGTTTGGTTACACTCCAATTATGCTGTTTGGAGACCACTTCAAGCCTGTGGTCTCTATTTAGAGGTTTTTAATTTGGGACCGAACCCAAATTTCAGATAAAAAAGTGGTCTCCAATTGGATTGCGGACTGTACAATGTTCTACCTAATTTCAATATTAACTTCTCAAGGAACCACAACACAAATTTGACTCAATTTTATATTTTCTGATGAAGTCGTGTATCAAGCATAGGAACGTTTATGCCCTCATGGCTCTGGTTATTAAGTTCAGTATCTATGGTTAACCATCTCCATGGCATCCTCCAGTTTTATAAAATAGGTTCCCAGTGGGAATGTCTGTCTACTGCTTGACTGCTTGATAAGTTTACTTTTTGGAAAACTTCATTTTTAGTTTATGACGCATCCTATCATTCCTCCAATCCGATTTACTCTCACAATTTACAAGTGAGATCGAAAGCTAAATGTCTACAGCCCCCTGGGGCAGAAGACACTAAAAAACACACATAAATTGTGTAGCCCAAGCAATAGCAAGGAAACTAGTATTTACATTTTAATGATGAATTCACTTCATTTTTATGAATTTTTTGCATATAATTGGCCCATAAGTTGTGTTTTTTTTTAAGGTGAGATTATGCAACATAGGCATGAAATTTAAAAAGTGGATGCTCATGCGCGAGACTTGGCTTAATTTGAATTGATGCAATTTATATTTTCAGGCATCAGGAATAGCTGTGAGTTCGTGGCTTACCAATATTGCTAGTAGTAGTAAGGAGTTGCAAAAGTATTTGTACATCAAAGCTAAAATAAATGAGGCAGGCACGATGATAGAATATGTAAGTGCAGAAAAATATAAGAAGGAACCGGGGGATGAAGATGATAAAACTCTTACATTTGTGCCAGAAAATGAGCAGCCAAGAGAATCTGTTGAACGATTGAGAAATACCCTGTTCAGAGATGATCATTGCTTCTACTTGATTTACAACCTGTATTATGGTCCTAACAATTTATCAGCAAAATTTGTCATTGTGCGATGGTGAGTAAAATATTAATTATTGGTTCGAATGGAATGCGGGAACATTTAACCCTGGACCAAGATCAAATCGACAAATGATGAAACAAAATGATTTGAATTGAGGGGAAGCAAAATTAAATAACACACTTAGGATAATATACTGGGTGTCCCAGTGAAGCCGTTTTGTGTTACAACAGTCGAACAATGTTCAAAAATTTTGAAAAAATGACATGAATTTGATGTTAAAAAGAATGGTTTTTTTTCATTTTTAAAAATTTTATTCATTCTGGCAAAAAAATATAAAATAAAAACATTACAAAAACCAAAATATCAGCAATAGACCGAATCGGCACCGCCAGCTATTACTGGTCACATGACATATAGTGGGTACTACTGTAAATGTAAACAGATACATCGTAAACCACAGTGTGCTCAGTTTAAACACAGTATATTGAGAGTTAAGATGTTTTTTAGACAGCGGCCCAAAGAAAAGTAAGGCAGTAGGCCTATGTTTTTTTTAAATCTCTGCATTTTATTTTGGCTCTGGAATGCTGCTAGTGTAGGCTACATACAAGTACAGTCCTACTAGGGATGGAGTTGTTAAGCCTTGACTATATATCTCGGTAGTCAAGAGTAAAAAAGTGAAAAATAGCCCTTACCGGCACTGATTGCTCAACCGAACTTGGTATACAGTAGGAAACAGGCTGGTGATAATAAATAGGCCTTGTTGTATGGTACAATAATATCCTAATGCCAGTATGTAATATTAGTTTGTCATGATGATGATCATCATCCTCGGGAATAACTACTAACATCCTATGATTTAATTTTGGATTTGAAATAACTGTAAAATAATACTCTTGCAACGAATGGGGAGATTCATTGTTTTCATGCTGCGAAATCATTTGCCACGAATAATATTCTTGACTTGAGCCTAAGAAGTACTTCAGCCGGCGACGACTCCAAGAGCAACATGCACCATAATTCAAATTACTCGTGTTCCAACCAATATTTGCAACATTTATGATGCCTTGCACCAACAACAAGTTGAAGCCATATTCAATGATCTGTCATTTTGCTGTCTCAATAGATGTAAACAAAACCTAATATTCACTATAAGTCACATGACCTGAGCTGCTGATTCGGTCTATTCACACATATGTATGTTTTATTCTTTACTTACGGAACATACTGTATATCTTTTAATAAGGTTGATTAAATATTTAAAGAGAAATGGTGTAAAATCTGGCAAGCTGACTTGCACGCATAAAGAAATCTTTGGGAAATAGTCAACCAAGTTTAAAAACACATCACACGAAACCATGTTCTTTATAGATACAGTATAAGTTTATCAGATAAACCTGCAACATGTACTACCTATAGGTGCTTTGTTGGATGCAGTACTTGCATATTATTTGAATAAAAATATTCTTTTTTGCAGGAGTTCTGATGATCATGCAAAACTAACTGATAAGATGTGTTATTCAAGCTCATCTGATAATCTGCGTGCAAAAACAAACCCTACCTGGCCTACTGTACAGTGCTGTTCACTTGATGAGTTCGCTTATGATGACCTGTTGAGGAAAGCAGGCATTAAAACAATCTAAATACTATGGAAACCAAAAAATGGTAGTGTTTCTTTCTCTGTGAATTGCAATTCATAGCCTAGCTAAATTTGTTATAAAAGATTAATTTTGAAAATATCAGTATCAATGATAACATACAGGGCTTGCCATGCCAAAACTGGCACCTGTGAACAAAACAGAAAAATTTGCTTTTTAATATATTCATATTTTCGATATAGTAAGCTTTAAAATGATAGTTCATTTTTACTAGAATCGATTTACTATTGCAAAAGTTGTGAGTAAACTTATTGTGGCTTCTTTGTACAATACTGGCCAAATTCTTAAGCATACTCAGTTTATTTTGCGACAGTATGCTGGTTTGGGATGGCAAGCCTCATTTATATTTAGGTAATGTATCTGATTAATTGGAGTATTTTATAATGCTCTGTTTTATAGCTGATTGCAAAATGTGACAAATACTTCAATTAAAAATATTGTAATGTATTGTAATATTATTATAGTTTCCTACAAAACACAAGATAGAACTCTCCACAGATAAGAACTGTATAACCGAATTGCATGATGCGTATGCTGTACTAACATAAGTTTGTTTATATCCTGCTGTAGGTGGCGACCCATTAAGTGAGGCGCCGCGGACAGTGAAAAAAACTTTGCAAAGTTGTCATTGGATAGAGAAAGGCATATGCGTGAAAGATATAACATAAAAGATATAACATATTCTGTATTCGCTTCACATGCGAGAGTTCTATTTTTGTGTTTCTAGTATCTTTGGTTCCCTACTCCCAAATAAGTTGTACTTTGTTTGAATCATAACAGGCATAGGAGATTCACTTTGAAGGTTGAAGGGACATAATGCTGTCATATTACATAGTGAATTTATTGACAAGATTAGCTTTGGTTTTCCACTAAGCTAATTTATACTTGTGGAGCGAAAGCATTTGACCATAAGCAGTTTAATTTCCATGCACAAGCCCTCCACCAGATCATTCGCTATTTTGCTACTGGTTGTTTGCTTTGCTAAAGTTTGCTGGTTGTTCACTTTGCTAAAGTTTGAACAGTATAACGCACATCAATCAGATCTCCGGAAAGATTTTATTGCGCCCATAAATGCAGAACTATATCGTCACCATGCCAAGTTGACACGTCAATGGCTATGTTGCAGCGAATGGCTATTCGTGTCGTGCAAATGAATTCACCTAGTGGAAAACATTCAGATATTTTCTTGTCAATCTCATGATTCTAAGTTAAAATATGTGATGTGATTTTTTTTTTTTTTGAAAACTCAAAGACACTGCGTATTGAAACGATTGTAATTTGCTAAGGAGTGGCGTACTTAAATTGGTACTTATTGGGAACGCAAAGAGGGAGTGCTCGATGATTAAGTGATAGGACTAGAATGACTATTCTATTTTTCAAAATTTCCAGTGGGGGAATGGGGAAAGCATTTTTTGGTGGAGTAAGTTTCCAGTGGGAGAAAGGGAAAGCATTTCTTGGTGGCGTGTACGCACTCTACATTGCTGGCTATCAGAATGTGATACAATCATACTCTTAGTTTCTGATGCAGTATTTTGAATTTTATTTTCCTAGTTTGTAACCATATGAAGTTTTGCAAGACAATCTAGGGACAAACTGTTCTTGTGCTCATCCATGGACAAGGAATCTACATTGCACGCAAGACGTTTTCCAACATACTCAACAAGATTGCTTAGATAACTATATTGATTAATTTTTGTATCTTTAAATTTAATTCATTTGATCCTCCTAAAACACAGGCACTCTAAAACAATGAAATCCAGTCCTTGCTTGCATCAATTTGCTTACAAAACCAATAATGATACTTTAAAATAAATTCAAGTGTTGGTATAAAAGAAAATAATGAGGCTCCAAAATTTACATAAGCATGTTCTCATGCTGTATATATATTAGCTTAAATCTTCCTTAATTGTAGGATGCAACCATACGGTTACCATATTAAAAATAAATACCAAATTATTAGATTGATGTTTCTCACAGTTCTGTATGTCATGGAAAAGTCTAGTACACAACAAAATTTGAGTTATATATATTTAGTTTCAAAACTTTTTAAAATCTGAATCTATTAAAAAACCATGATCAAGAATCTAGTTACTAACATAGTCTTCCCAGAGTTTTGTTCAATTTATATTTATGATTCTTGGATACAGTATTTGTTTAGAGCATTTTGGACAATTTATAATCATGGATTTGCTTCCCTTCTTGATAATTTTAACGATGTGAAGACATCTCCCTTATTAAAATGGATCAGAATAAGTAACAAGTAGTAGTCAATATGAACATGTTATTCATGTAACAGATTTATTCCCCGTTATTTTGGTGTCTTAAGCCTGTCACTTTGTATTATTAAAATAAAAACAGCCTAATAATTATAGATGCCTGTGGTGTTGATTAATGTCTCCTGTCTGCTGAGTCATATAAACTACAGTACTGTTTCACCAGGTCCAGAATTTTTACTGAAAAGAAATTGAGAGTTGCCATCTATAAAGGAGAACAAAAGGCCATTAGACAGAGAGATGTTTGAACTAAGTGTGTGATACAAAATACCGTAAAACCTCGAATTGAAGCCCACAGGGCTTAATCTCGTGATGAAGCCCATCACGAATTCATCATCTCGAATTTATGCCCTTTTTTTAGTTTGCAAAATTAGCTCCGAACATAAGGAAGCCCATGGGTTTTTTTTCCAGATAGCATAGGCTTCTTTTCGAGATATTACAGTCATACACTGTACATGAATTTCAGAAAACACAGTAAATTAAATACACGCTTGGTTTATACATTAGTTTAGGTGATTTAATGCCAATTAAATATACACTCTTTGGATGTGTATAGACGACAAGACTCAACAGCCGATTTTGTGTATAACACAAATTAATTAAATCGAGTAAATCAAGTGAAAATACAAAGGTATAAAAACACTTATTTCGGAGAGAGTATAAAAATAATATTTGTCCTTTGAGAGAATGAAAACTACTACTACTAACTGAAATACTGGGATGTAACCTCAGTAGTGTGTTTGGTTTTTCGACCAATTAGAGTCTTATGTTGGTCACTCCCTTTGCTTGTACATTCCAATGCCCTGGCACTGCTGACCACAACATAAACTTACTTTCAGTTTTTCCTGAAAGTTGTCAGCTAATAATATGCCTACCAAGCCTTATACTTTAAGGATAGGTATGCTGTTGGTTGAATTAGAATTAATATGAAAGGAAAATAATATACAATGTAAAATTTAAAGTACTTTGATGATAAAACGTTAAAAATTAAAATTAAAGAAATTAAAAGTCAAATATGAATTATAAACGCTACATCAGCCCCCTTCCACTGATAACTGATAGTATGCACTAATAACGAACAGTTGTAACATATCTGTTAGGGAAATGCACGTCTTCCGTATCTTGTTTTCCTAACGGGTTAAGAATTAGTAGCGTCCACAGTTACAGGTTGAGTGAAGTCTGAAATAATAATATTAGTATTATCATTTAAGGCGATCTATTGAAATATTGTCTGCGGTTACCATTGATAACACTTTAAAAGGTCCGTTGTAAGGGGGTTCCAGTGGTTTTCTGATTGCATCTTTCCTTACAAAAACGTGGGTACATGTTGAAAGATCGCGAGGAATATAGAAAGGCTGTTTACTTTCCTGTCTTGAAATTGCTGGGTAAAAAGTTTTAATCTCAATCAATCAATGAAAGGTAATGGGTCATGATTCAAGTTTTCAGAGGTGGTATAAATTTCACCGGGAACAGAAATAGGTGTACTGTAGACTCGTTCAGCGACACTATGTCCTAGGTCCTGTTTAACTGCTGTACGTATTCACAGTAGTACTGTACTGAATAAATGTTGTCCGCCCAGCGATTAGGGTCATTCTGTGCTTTTAGTGATGATTTTAATTGGCGGTGAAAGCCGCCCAGCGATTAGGGTCATTCTGTGCTTTTAGTGATGATTTTAATTGGCGGTGAAAGCGTTCTACTAGGCCATTTGATTGGGGGTGGTATGATATTCTTATTCTTTTAGCACCTAGAAACTTAGTGAATTGCGCACTTTCGCGGTCTGTAGTGACGATTGACGGAGTACCGAATCGGCATATCCAGTGGTTATAAAACGCTTTTGCTGTAGTTTTGGCAGAAATATCGCTGATGGGTATAGCCTCAGGCCAATGTGTGAATCGGTCGACACATGTTAACAAATAAGTATATCCATTAAGAGTGTGGCAATGGTCCTACTAAGTCAATCTGAACATGCTGGAATCTTTCGGTTGTATGCTCATATGCTGATAGTGGTGCCATTGTGTGTCGATGAATTTTTGCTTTTTGGCAGTGCAAGCAAGTTTAGGCCCAGTTCCGTACATCAGAATTAATGTTAAACCAAATATAGCGCTGTGTGACTAATTCATCCATGGAGCGACTAACTTTTTGAGTCGTTTTGATTCCTGGGTGTGACAAGATGTGAAGAGTGTTAAATATTTGATGGCGATACTTTTCTGGGATAAATGGTCGGGGGGGTTGCTAGTAGTGATATCACACATAATGGTTGTATCAGCATTTGGCACTGTCTATTACTGCCAAACGATGGTGTTATGGGTGTCAGAATCAAGGAGTGTTTAGAGTTCAGTGTCAGTCTTTCGGGCTTGGGCAATTTCGGCAAAATCAATAGCTGATGAATGAGTGAGCTTTGCTGTTCTAGATAAAGCATCAGCAGCTTGATTATCAACACCTTTAACATGGTGAATATCACATGTAAACTGAGATATAAATTTCAAGTGTCGTAATTCGCATGAGGACATGAAAATGACTTCCTTCTAAAAAATGGCGAAAATGTTTTACTGTATAGATAGTTTGTGTCCAAATGCACTGTATCGAGTTTCGGTGGGTTGAAGATGCTTTGAGAAGAAAGCAAGTGGTTGCCACTCGTTAATTTGCTGTTGCAGCAATATGCTTCCATATTGCTGTTAGCGTGGGAATAGGAGTCGGAGGTGACTTTCGTGTTCCTCGGGTGTGGTTCTGCGGACAAGAATATAATCAATCCAGGTACCACTTCGTCCATAAAGCGTTAGAACGAGTGGGCAGCATTTTTGAGTCCGAATGGCATTTTAACAAATTCATATAGTCCGAATGGTGTTATTGCTGTTTTTTTAATGTCCTCGTCGGCGACTGGTATTTGGTAGTATGCCCGCCCTAGATCGATTTTTGAGAAAATATTGGTGCCATACAATGATGAAGTAAAATCCTGGATGTGGGGAATAGGGTAGCAATTGGACACTGTAACTGTGTTTAATGCTCGATAGAAAAAAAAAATCATGAAATCATGCTTCTGATTTTGTGATCAATTTGCTTTGCATTGTATATTGGCCCTACGTTATCAAAACAGGTTTAGTTCTCACTAAAATTGGCCTATTCTCTGTATTTATTTACACCTAGAGTACATAGGGCTACTGAAGGCATACCAGTCCGAAAGTCGTACCATTCTATGTTCTCTAACAACGGATTTTTCAATCTCCAGCAAATTTAAATAGCATCCAATCCTCCTTTTTGGAATGTAAGGAAATAGATAGTGCTTGTCCTTTATTGGATCGATTGTAACTCCTGATTGTAGCAACCCCAAAACGAATGGCACTTCAGAAATACAGTATAGTATACCAAAACTTCTCTCAAAATTTATATCCTATCGCGTTGTTTGTGTTTTAAGTTAACTTTATTTATTTTTTTATTTTATTTATATTTTTTAAGCGTACAGGTTTGGAATATTTTAAAATCCTTAAGTTAAATTATTTAAAGTTTTCTTTTATTTTCAATGAAAAATAAATGCGATTGTTAATATCGATCTTGGTACAATGTAAACCTGTAATCATATGACTACTTATACAGAATATATATTATAGGCCTAAACTAGGACCAGGCCTCCTACTATAGTATAGAGGCCTAGTCCTCCTACTATAGTATAGAGGCCTTGTCCAAGACCTTGTTGCAAACCCCAGCTCACATAAGCTTAACCTATAATGCCAAGCATAGGGCTCGTGATAAGATGAAATCATCGCACAAGAGTCAACCAACTCACACTCGAATACGGAAACGGTGCGAGTGAGAGTGATCTCAAGAAAGCTGGTATAGGTTTGATTCACCGATTGCAGACTATGGTTTTCTCAGAGTAAGTTTTCACTATTACTACTGCATACGTAACCCACAACGATCAATGTGAAATTGTGAGGGATGCACCTCATGACTCTATCTAGGCCCAAAGCCTACCCTTGGCGTAGTTGGAAGATGGACCTACACTCCTATCCCATATCCTCAATCATGATTATGATGCAAGAAAGATCAATGCAACACTTATACACTAGGCCTAGTTTGCATGACAAGTTCGCCTTCTGTTTTTCTGAAGAAGTACCAAGCAGAGCAACCTGTTTAAGGCCCAAATAGTCTATTTTTCCCTTATTTCTACACCTCAATACTGTAATATAATAATTCTTAATAAATAACTACCCTACCAGGAGTGGGCCCCACTACACTGTGGGCCCACTCCTGGTTGAGTTGCCACTAGCTTAACATTATCCCTGCACTGTCTTCCAGGTCACTAAACAATTTAAACCACTCTTGTTGATATTCATCTTTAATTGGCTCATCCCACACAAGACCTTCACCCCATAACTTAGTAGAATCTTGGCTCGCACAGTCACTGGCGTCAATAGACCCAATGGATCATAAACTGCATTAATTTTGCTCAAACAAATCCTCTTTGAAAGTGGTTGAGGAACATCATGAAACATACTGAAGTTTCCTTGAAAGGTCAATAGGTTTTCTTTCGGCTTCCAACAGATCCCCAATACCTTCTTCGTCTCCAAAGATTGGTCTTGCTTCTCCCCACTCTCCTTTCCAGATATTATCCACTCCTTTATAGAAAAGTTTCCAGGTTTTAGCAGACAATCGACATCCTTTGTCAGCCTTTCAGCCATATCTCTTTTCGTTGTTTAGTATAGTATCTGCAGCTTCAGGAGCTTTCTCTCTACCCATTTCGGCTGTTTTTCGTAATGCTGCGATAGCTATAGTGGCTGATGGCTTGTCGCCAAAATTTACTGCCGTTACACAATAAGTTCTTGGTGGTTTCTCTGTTTCAAGCCCTCTCCACAAGAATCTATGGCAATGCTGATCAGGTAAGTATATACTAATGGAGTGAAACATCTTTCGGATGTCACCAACTAGAGCTACTTACTCACCCACCCCTGAATCTCAGCAAAACTGCTAGTAAGTTGTTGTTCAGGTCCAGAACTTTAGCCCAAAAATTGTTTAACATGTGTCCTCTGTAACTAGTGCTACTGTTGAATACAGGAGTGCTTACACTGTCTGCTTTGAGTACCGCATGATGTGCGATGTAATG